CCCGAGACTTCCTCATGCCCGGTTCGTGGCCCACGAACCCTAATCATGGACAATCTGAATCAGGATGTTACATTTAGTCCTTAATATTTTTGTACACATTTAGTCCTTAATATTTTTTTGTTTCAAAATAAGTCATTTTTGTTTTTGTACTCATTCAGTATTTATGAATGATTTCTTTAGTTTTTTCTCACCACATCTTACGTAGGACAATCATTGATGAAGTGTGTGGGGCTGTTGATGTTTATGTGTAACGTCTCATTTTCACAACAAAAAAATTTCATTTTTAAATAAGGCAAAAGTCCCTAATTATAAATCCATTATTAAGAAAAAACGTTTATTCCAAAATACATTTATCGAAAATCAGAGTAATATAAGAAAAACGCGGAATCCTCAATACTGTTGATGAGTGTGTACAATCATGTCTTCGCCTTCCCACGGTCAACGATAGAACCCGAAAACATAAAGAACTTGGTAAGCACAAAGTTTAGTGAATTTTTCTCAAAATACTCGATACAACAAACGCATTATCATGCATAACGAGCCCACACTCATCAGATTGAAATACCTTGGCCTAATCAGTTATCAGACTGGAATGACAACATGCAACATGTGCAATCAGTCATCAGACTGGAATACCCATGGTTTGTCGTCATGCCGCCTTAACCCAACCGCTATTCTCGAGCCTCCGTGCCTACACCTTACAGCCTGCCCGCACCAAGTATCTTGGCCTAAAACATATAACAGGACCACCTCAACCTATCTCACCACCATATGGCTATCCCACGTAAGACGTCGTGAGAAAAACCTAAATAAATCATTCATAAGTACTAAATGAGTACAAAAAAAGTATATTAAAGACTAAATGTGTAAAAAAATATTAAGGATTAAATGTGTACAAAGTGAGAAATATATTACCCTATTAAGTCATTTTTACCGGCTAATCTGGAGTAGCCGGTCATAAGGATTAAATCTGTACAGTTTAACAAGTTGAAGGGGTAAATATGGACGAAAATAAAAGTTAATGACTAAATGTGTACAAATCAAAAAATACATTATATTTTTAAATGATTATCCCTATATTTATTGAAAAACAATCAAAAATAAGATCGTAACCTAAGGTTTCATTCTCTTCCGCTCCGAATAGATCCATGATCCGTCTCCATTCCGTTACTTCCACCTTCTCCCCCATCTCTCTTGCCCTAAAATAAAAATCCCCAATTTCCTTCTACAGTACAACATATATCGCTTACAACTACACATTCACGCTCATTCACACCAACCTAACCATTTTCCCTTGAACAATTTTGTTGCAAGAATCTCACATGCTTCGCATTTTGCCAGTGTAATATTGATTGTAATCATGCTGGACACAAATGCACTGGTTCATGATATCTTGAACAAGCTCAAAAGACGGTGAGCGCTAATTATTCTTTCCTTTGTTTGTCAAGTTTTGAATTTACTGTTTATTTATGTTGTTTATGGTTTCTGTACGATGGGGGCAGTCAGATTGAGGGCTCAAAGGCCACAGCGAAGCTGACCGCAGAACTCCTCCGTAGTGTGATATCGCAGCAGCGTCTTCCAAGCACAAACCAAGCCGGGGCTCTTATCGATGCAATTAAGGCGATTGGAGAGCAGCTTGTTGCTGCTAATCCAGTGGGTTAGTTTGTTTTTTTTTCTGTGTATTGACAAATTGTCGAATGCTTATTTCTTCTGTTATCTAAATTCTTTGATTGAATTCGGTTCCAGAACTCGCTGTTGGTAATATAGCGAGGCGTGTTCTACATATAATCAGGGAGGAAGATCTTTCACTCACGACATCTGTCATTGGTGGATTAAGCTTATCAGCCATTAGTGATGATGAGAATGACGTTGAACAAGACGATTATCCAGTTTTATCAGCTGCTGCTGTTGCTGCTGCTGCTAGAAATGCTCTGAGAGCTCCATCATTGCAGACCCTTCTAGAGGGTGTACCTCATTCTGCAGCTGTTCTTCACTCCAACTCTTCTGCAGATGATTCTGAAGAAAAAACCAAATGTTAGTTCTTTTTGATATTTAAATGTAAAGCTTATGAAATTTCTCATGACTTGATTTTATTACACTACAGCGACTGATAAAAATTCAAGAAGTCGAAAGCTAAAGCACAATGTTATCGAGACTGTGAATGATCTGATTCAAGATATTGCCACCTGTCATGAAGAGATTGCTGAGCAAGCAGTCGAGCATATTCACCATAAGTATTCTCATTTCTCTCTAAACCCCTCTTCCCAAAAGTTGTTAATATAATATTAAATATTAATAGTCAATATATTAAATGAAAAAACAATTATTTGCAGTGAAGTTATTTTGACCTTAGGAAGTTCAAGAACTGTCATTGAATTTCTTTGTGCTGCAAAGGAGAAGAAGAGATCATTTCGTGTTTTTGTAGCAGAGGGTGCTCCAAGGTCTGTATGCTACTTTCTTTTTTAGAGCAAAAAGTAAGTTACATTTTTGGTCCCTGAGTTTATCTGATTTTTTTCGCTTTTGGTCCCTAAAGAAATCTGTTTGCAAATATTGTCCTTAATTTAATGTTTCATAACAGTTTTGGCCCCTGAATCGTTAATCCTACCTACCCAGCTGTTAATATATTTAAAATGACCATTTTGGTCCATGTGGTACACTATTCTTTTTAGTTTTGGCCCAAGGGCAAAATGGTCAAAATCATTATGAAACATTAACCAAAATTGCAAACTGATTCCTTTAGAAACCAAAAACGAAAAAACTGCTAAACCCAGGGACCAAAAATGCAATATATTCTAAAGTCTAGACTAAGTTACATCTTTCGTCCCTGTGCTCTTTCAAAAGTCCTGATGTTACATTTTTTGCATGGTTGGTCCCTAAAGTGTAGTTTCATTGCACTTTAGGTCCCTGGCTTGGACATTGTCTAAAAAGGATGTTAAGTCCAAAGTATAATGACTATTTTGCCCCTCATCTTATTCTTTAAATAGGTATGAAGGACATATTCTTGCAAATGAATTGATTAGTAGAGGACTACAAACAACAGTAATCACTGATTCCGCTGTTTTTGCAATGATTTCACGTGTAAACATGGTATGCAACGAATCAAGTAACAAACAACAAATAATCTGCCAATTTACCATTTTGACCCTGGTTTTGAAATTGGTAATAAATAGGTTATTGTTGGGGCCCACGCTGTGATGGCAAATGGTGGAGTGATTGCACCTGTTGGATTAAGTATGGTTGCACTTGCAGCTCAAAGACATGCTGTTCCTTTTGTTGTTCTTGCTGGCATCCATAAGGTAAAATGTTTTATAATTTTTATGATTATAAATTTCAGAATAGATTAAATTTTTGGTCCTCAAATATTGCTGATTTTTGTTTGCAAATTTGGTCCCAAAAGGTTTTCTTTTGCAATTTTGGTCTTTATTTGAAGTGTTTGTAATGTTTTTGGTACTCTTCCAAGTAAAATGACTATATTACCCTTTTTCTGATTTTTCTTTTATAATTTTTGTTATTTAATTCATAAGTGTAAATTTCCATTTTGGTCCCTGAGTATTGCTGATATTTTTGCAATTTTGGTCCCAAAAAGTTTTCTTTTGCTATTTTGGCCCTAAAAAGTTTTATTTTGTGATTTTGCTTCCAAAAAGTTTTCTTTTGCATTTCTGGTCCCAAAAAGTTTTCTTTTGCAATTTTGGTCCTCATTTGAAGTTTTTGTAACGTTTTTTTGTTCCCTTCTAAGTAAAATGACAATATTACCCGTTTCTGTATTTTATAACTATTTGTTATTTAATCTACCTGATTTCAATAATAATGCAACTACAAGATAAATAATTAAAATAATATAAAAGAGTTAAATAAAGGGTAGTATAGTCACAAAACCCCCACATGTACACCAATTCTTTGCAAGAGAACTTTTTGGTGCCAAAATTGCCAAAATCAGCTATACTCAGGGACCAAAAATGTAAACTACAATTACATTAAATCTAATAACTTGTTAAGAATTGACAACACGTATGCAACGTATGATTGGTTGTTTGTTTGTTTGAACTGTTTTGGTGTGTAATGACAGTTGTGCCCTTTGTATCCCCACAAACCAGAGGTGTTATTGAATGAATTGAAGTCTCCATCTGATTTACTGGATTTTGGAGAGTTCTCTGATTGCATGGATTCCGCCACTGGAATTGGATTCCCTCTTCATGTTGTGAATCCTGCATTTGACTATGTGCCACCTCAGCTTGTCACTCTATTTATTACAGACACGTAAGTTCACTTGTATTTGATTAAAGTTTATTTAAAAAAAAACAACATTTTTTCTTTATCCATCAGTTTAATTTTAGTTTTCTAGTTATTGATAACAAACTAGATGGTTGAACTTGAATGACCCATTCCATTCCTTTATGGTGGAATCAGCAAAGGAATGGAATGATTCATTCCACTTGTTTCGTTTAACATGATGTGTAGGATAGAGTTGAAACTATATATTGTATTTACATATAATATAAAAATTTGTTCCATAATGTAAACTTATCTATTTATTATTATTATTTTTTTTTTGGCAGTGGAGGGCACAACCCATCGTATATGTATCGGCTGATTGCAGATTATTATTCAGCTGATGATTTGGTCTTACAACGAAAGCCTATTTCTTGACATTGCTTAAATCTATATCCATTTTTTATAGATCCAAATGTAGCTTTTTTATTTTAATTTTTTAATCCAGATAACTATTTTGAATTTATGGTTTCTTCGAGATAGGGTTTTTTGTTACTTGGGGATTGTTTATTTTTTCCCCGTTACGTCCTATATTGGTAAAATGATTAAGGTGCTCTTCCTAGGATCTTTTGTTTATGGGGAAGTAACGTTTTATTTTAAGACTTTGCTTTTTAGAAGAAGTGAAGAACACACAGACGTCAAATCGTCTTTTTAGAAAAATCACTTTTAAGGTCTAAAAAAAGACGTCTCTATCAATTTCTTAATATTTATTTATAGTGATAATGATAAAAATAAAAACTCTTTAACTATAAGAAAAATGATTATTACCACTAAATATTCATAGCTTCTTCGTTACGTTTTTGTCTTAAGCTTGATTTGAATTTGTATTACTTGATCTTGTTTTAACAAAAAGATTTATTTTCATAAGAAATTATGTTGGTAACTATAAGTTAATAGTTTTTTTTTAATTATATTTGGGTAAAATATTAAAATTAAATAATTAATACAAAGAAAAGAATATCTACATTGATATATATAAATTGCCAATATATATATATATATATATATATATATATATATATATATATATATATATATTATGAGCCAGTTTTTTTTGTGTAATCTGTAAAACTTTTTAAAATTAGATAAACTTATTTGTTCGAAGTGAGATTGACATAAGATCTTTTTCAACGTGTATTTTATAGTTTGTACTTTTAACATAGGCTATAATTACATCATTTTTGGCTACATATTGACTTTGTTACATTCCCCGGAAGTAAGGGTATCAAAGTTGAAAGTTTTTAAGCTATTCAACTTTTATGTGTAATTTGTGAAACTTTTAAAAATTACATAACTTATTCGTTTAAAATTAGATTGACATGAAACTTCTCCAACATGTACTTTATAGTTTATACTTAAATTTAGGCTATAAGTTCATCATTTTTGGTTCCATATTGAATGAGATACAGTCCCCCGAAGTCAGGGTATCAAAGTAGAAAGTTTTTCGATACTGCTTCAACAACTTGTAGCATACGAAACGAATGTTGTACTAGTCCAACGGGTTCAAGAACTGGAAAATCAGCATCGACACATGAACCATTCCAGAACCGACACAAGAAATAGCATGAAGGATGTCGATTGGGCTTTTTGGCGTTCTAAACTCTCGTTGGAGCATAATACAACATCCGATATGGATAATCTCATTGAACATAACAAAAGATTTAATGTATGATTGCGTTATACGACATAATAAAATATTGCAAGATGAGGATGCTTTTATATCTTCATGATATTGAACCCCATATTAAGGAAGAAGTGTATGTATATATGCCCAATTGCCCATGAATTACGCGACACAGAAACCATCACCAACTTCTGAGTTTTAAATAATAAGAGTGAAAGAAAAATGATGCTAAAATAAAAAGAAAACTAGGAAATGTGAAAGATAGGTACACTAGCTTAACCTTAGGGTGAATATCACTACTCATTTTTAACAAAGGACCATTTTGTAAATTCGTACTCTGACAAACGACTGAATGAATACCAGAACCGGTGTGGAAAAGTTGCAGACAACCCTTTATTCTCCACCACATAACTCGTGTAAAGAACTTAACTTTGTTCAAATATTCATATTCATATAGAACGTATAAAACAATACTTTTTCCTATGAATATTAAATCTAAGCTTTTGATTACTTGTTATTGATAACAATTTAAAATTAAATAATAAATCTGAATTTTTTTTATAAAAAGTTACATATTTAAATAAAAAAAAATCAAATCAATTATAATAGTAGAAAAGCAACATTGCCATGGCCCCCCCACAAGTGGTATTGATATCTGTTGAGTTGTCACATCGCACTTCATCTAAGTAAATATTTCATATTTCCAAAGGCTATTTTTAGTAGGATATTGAAGTTATCGTGATGAATTTTCAATTAATATTTCCAATTATAAATATATCGATAACAAATTTATTTGAGTGTTTTGAATTTTTCTAAAAATGGTTAATAATACAACATTTTTTTGAACGATATGAAGTTTAATAAACTTTAACTTTACGTTGGAGTAATGATATAGTCTAAAGAGCCAAAAATATATTATTCAATGTGACTCGACACTTACATGCATTTTTCAAAAAATGTTATCATTTATGAAATCTTATTTCAATGTGACTCGACACTCATATTACATGCATTAAATTTGCAATGACAATTAATCATATTGTGAAATTCGTAAAATAAAATAATATGCAACTCAATAAAAGATAACATGAGATTCGTGTGATGTGAATTTCTAAACCGGATTGAACCATACAGTTTCTTCAAAAACGAATTGAACCGATGTGATAGAACCAATAAAAAATCGTTTGAACTGGTTTAATGGACTTGAATAATTGGATTTCACTTGAGCCTTTAAAAACAACACATTTTCAAAGCAAATTGAATAGTTCAAGTGGATAACCATATCCACAACGTATACAACTCAAAGGCCGACTCACATCACTGACAAATGTATTTTAACGGTTGAATCGAAAACCGATCATCAAAACAGTTTTTAAAATATTGCCTATAAAATCCTCTCATCTTGTTAGAAAAACTCTTACATCTATATTATTATCTCGTTAAGGATAAAGTCGTCCTAAAAATAGTAAACATATGTAGTCTTCGAAGATATTTCAAACCGATTAATTTATCATACTGAATTCAAAATATATACTTTTTATGTAGCTTTTTGTCATTTATTATGTGGGTCTACATATAACAATATTTGAATTGAAAATAGATTAATATAAAAAAAAACATTATTTATAAGGTTTTATCAATTATTTTTATGTGCCATTATATTTTGAAAAATCTTTTTATTTTTGGGTCATTTACTGGTCACCAACATTACGATGATGTGTCGGTTTGGCTGACATGAAAAACATTTCTTGGTTTGCATTTAGTTCCACATTCACGTCTTAACGAGTCTATTATTTTTGTTCCCCATCTGCAATTACTTTTGAAAAAAAATATATATTAACCATTGGCCGGTTACCAGTCGGTATTTTAAAACGTAATAGATTAGTTATTTTGTTCCACATTTACCATTACTTTAGTGTATACATGTATTTTAAAATGAAGAAAAAACACATATGGTAAGTCTCGAACTTGAGATATCTAATAAACAATGTGACATGCAAATCTCCAAGCCATTAATACATTCTTAATTCATCTAATAAACAATTGATTATTTCTAATAACATATTTGTGAGAGAACCAAAGAAATGATATAACAACACGTATAATTTTAAGGGTTAAATGCAAGAAATAACATTATACTTTCATAATTTGTTGTTATAACATGAAGTTTCAAATTAATTTTATATTGGGACATTATACGTTGATAAATATACTTATTATACTGTATAACAATAGATAACATGTTGCTTCGAACTATGATGACATACACAACGTAATAGGTTTTTATTCCATAACAAAGAGAGTTCTTGGCTCACTAACTAACTCGCCTAGCCCATAAGAAGAAGTAACAACTTTGACTCTTGTCTTCAAGGGTTATTTCTTTGTCATTTTAAGTTGTTATGTTTTTAAAACATTTATTGGTGACTAGCCAAAGACTAAAAATGAAAAAGAAAAAAAATCCAAAACATAATAGCAAATGGGAAACAAAAAAAATTGCAGCTAAACGCAAATTAAGACGTAAATGTTAAGATTAAATATAAACTGAGAACACTTTATTATAATTTATCGGTGACTGATAAGAACACAATAATTAATTTTTTTTACATAATACAATATAATGACCTAAAAACTTGAGGTTAAAACATAAGAAAGTCGGATAATATACTCTACCAAGAATTAACACCACCGTCCATGTAAACAAAAGAAGGATTAAACTTATAGTAACATTTTATAAACTAATGAGATTTATTATAAAGTTAATTGTCGACGAGCACCGAACCAACTTTTTCGAAAAAAATAGAAGATGGATTCCGTATATCCTTCACAAAAAAAAACTCTATATAAACACCCCCACATGTATCATCTGCATACACATCATCACCTCTCTCTCTCTCCTCTTCTCTCTCAGTTTCTAGCAGTGTCTGAAGATGAGGCCTTCCATGAAGCTGATTGCAACCATGTTGCTTGTACTCTTGTGTCTCATGGCCAATGGTAATCCTTCTAATCTCATCATTCTTACAAACTACGATGCGATATTATATAGTTAATGGGTTATTAATTCAAGATAATATATATGTACAGTAATGGTGGAAGCCAGGACATGTGAGTCACAGAGCCACAAATTCAAGGGGACCTGCGTCAGCAGCACCAACTGTGGTAATGTGTGCAAGAATGAGGGATTTCATGCCGGAAAGTGCCGTGGATTCCGTCGTCGTTGCTTCTGCACTAAACACTGTTAAATCAACTTCTACTACTTGTGGGTTATGTGTATCCGGTCACCGGTGTCCACTTTCGGAATTAAGTTTCAGTTCGAGTCATGTGTCCCTGTTTACTTTTTGTTTTTGGTGTCTGACGCGTGTCCATGTGTGTACGTACTTCTTCGATAAATAAGCTTTGGTTCCTTTTCTAAACAGAGTGTCTTATAGCAATTTTCTATGTAAGGCGATTGCTCAATCGCTAGCTGTCTTATCTCTTTTCTCTTTGTGTCGTATCTCTCTCCCTTTCTCCTCTAATAAAGAAAAAGTAAACCAAGAAATCAATTGTTATTGTCGGATTCAAAATACCAACGGCCAAACACTAAGAGCAACCACATCGGTGGTAGTCTTGCAATATATTTGTAAAGGTGACCCGTATAATGTTTGCAAGACATATGGATTAGATATTATTATTTTATTATAAAGGTAATATAATATATCAATTCAATTGTTTTTAATATCTTGATATGGCTATTTGATTAAAATACTAATATAATCCTTTTGCAAGTCTTTCAAGTTTTGAAAGAGACACTCCTATGTGGCATAAAATAATGGCCTACTTGGCCTTGCAAACCATTTGCAAGCCATCGATGTAGATGGTCTAAGATATATGTTTGTTAGTTGAACTTGGAGGCATCGATTATATCAAACAAAATTTGTTTTTTTTTTTTCAATTTTTAAAACTTATTTTTATTGTAAAACCAAATTCTTTT